AGAGGATGGATCTAGACTGTTCTCAGTGGTACCAGATGACAGAACTAGGAGTAATGGTCTCAAGTTGCAGTGGGGGAGGTTTAGGTTGGATATTAGGAAAAACGTTTTCACTAGGAGGGTGGTGAAGCACTGGAATGGGTTACCTAGGGAGGTGGTGGAATCTCCTTCCTTAGAGCTTTTTAGAGTCAGGCTTGACAAAGCTGTGGCTGGGATGATTTAGTTGGGGATTGGTCCTGCTTTGAGCAGGGGGTTGGACTAGATGACCTCCTGAGGTCCCTTCCAACCCTGATATTCTATGATTCTATGATTCTTCTCCTTCCACCACACCTCACTCGTAGTTGTTGTTCTTGGTCAGTGGAGACCCAGAGTACAGCGGTGCTTTCACATGAGTTTACCTCCCACCTTGGGGCCTGGGGGGAGCGGGGAAAAGGCACCTTGCTCATTCCCCCAACTGCTCACTGCTCACTCTAGCCGCTTCCTCTGACCGCTGTTGTTCGTCGTGCCGCTGTTCACTCCACCGCTCCATCCCCAAAAGCCCTGTACCATCACCTTCTGCTGCCACTTGCCACTGTGACCTCTGTGAGTCGGTCTCTCAAGGTTCCACCTGGCTCTCAGTGATTTCAGCTCTCAGTGGGGGAACCTCACTGCTAGTGCAGGCTGGGCAGTCTCTTCCACAGAAACACTGTCCTGCAACAGGTTTAAGCATTGAGACCTGATTATCAGTGATTTCAGCTCTAGTGGTCACTTAACAAACCAAAGGACTCTCTATGGAGCCTAATCAGCTCTATCTTTTAACAGGGGAAAGGGGCAGATCAAATAGTGCCTGTGACTCTTAGGCAGAGCCCACACCACCAAGCAAAACACCTGTGCCGTGCCAAACCATGGCGTGCTTCTCCCCACTCTCTGTCTTCCCACTAGGCTATGGCATCCAAATATCCTGATTAGGGAGTGCAGTTCAGGTGAGAGCGACCAGTGCTTAATTTGTAATGAAAGAGGTGTCAGGGCTCAAGCAAGTTTGTTACTTTCATAACTGATGTGGCAAGTCCAGAGGTCCCAGGGCTATGAACTGCTAAGCCTAGAGGTGCTGGAAATCAGCCCTGGAAAGCCCTAGCACAAATTAAGCACTGAGGGAGACTCCCTCATTCAGGCAGGCTAAGCAAAGTTCTGCTGCCCTTTACTCATGCAATAAGGATAACAGCATTTCATTATCCCCACATTCAATACTAAAGTGATTTGTAACCCAGCACCAGCCAAAATTGATCACTTGGGCAACACAGCTCTGTCTGCTGGATACCTAGGCAGAGTAAGTGTGTTCATGTAAATACAGTCTGGTACTGAAGCCTTTCCACCCACCCCCTGGTTCATCACTAGCTGACAGGGGCGAGCTCACTCAGACCTTGCTTACAAATCATAACTTGAAATTATTAGGTTGGCCAATATAGCTGAAACAAATGTGACAATATTGTCATAAACAACAGCTATATGAGGAAGCTAATCTTTGTTCATACTTTTCAAACCCATTATGCTTTTTCAGGTAGAAGTGTTTTATCATATATTGTATATGCTTTTAAAGTGTGTATTAATATTTCAATTTCAATTCAAATTTCCAACCAATGACTAAATTGACAACACTGCACGTAACTGCTTGACCATGGCCGGGGGCGATGTTGGGGAAATTCAGGGGGTGGTGGTGTAAACACCCACTGGGGGATGGTATAGGGAAATCAGCAGCCTGAGCCCACCTGGACTGGGACAGACCCAGATGGACTATGTTGAGACTTTCTAGATTTGAGGGCCCTGAGAACTTCCTGTGATGTGTTCAGATGTACAATAAACACTTCTGTTTTACCCTGGCTGAGAGTCACTGCAGACTAGAGAACAGGGTCATATTGCTCACTATGGGTGTGGATGCCTCAGGGGTCCAGAGTGAGTGGACTCACTGAGGGGGCTCATGGAGAGAGATAGGTGTGCTGATGGCTCAGAGGTACAGTCTCAGGAGGTGGCAGGACCTAGCCCCAGAGAGAGAGTGCAACTCTTGCAGAGGGCTGTCACACTGAAAGGGGTTACTCCCAGAGACCACATGGAACCGAGAGAGCATCGGTCCTGGGAGTCTGTGACAGTTGGTTCTAAAGCAGAAACTCTGAAGAGACTAGCAAATAACCAGAATGATCACCACAGTCTGCGCACCAAGGTAATAGAAATTGTTGAAAACTTGGAATCACTGTGTGACACACAGAAAACAATGGGGTTTTCTCCAACTATTGCCAACACGTTTGCCAACACAGATGTTCACTGGATCCTGACAACCAAACTCACAGCTGAATTGAGCACAAAAGCTGAAGGAGAAATATATGGCGAGAAAACCCAGCTGTTTCTGGAAATCCTTTTGACCCTGGAATACGAGAAAACCAAAAAAGCGTTCAAACCCTTCAACACAATGCTCAGAGAGAAATGGGTAATGACCGTGACCCATAATCTGAACCCCAAATGTTTGGTGCCGAAGCTTCTTTTTGGAATGTCATCCTCCAGGTTTTCACCCCCTTCTTCAAGGTGAATTTTGCAGCAGACTATGACCGTTATACCAGAGTGTTTCAACTATTTGCCACTAAAGATGAACTTTCAAATCTGAAAGAGGAATTTACTACTTACATGAACTTGCCTACCCCTGACAATGCAAAACTGGATGTGCTGGCTTTTTGGAAGAGTCATCAAGACACACTTCCCGACTTCAGCAAAGTGGCACGGTGAGCTTTGAGTGTATCCCCGGATCTGCTGATGCAGAGTGCGTATTTTCAAAGTTGGACTACCTCCAAGCCAGCATGAGGCTCAACACGAGTGAGAATCCTTTAAAGAAAATTATGTGAGCGAATGCAAACCAGGATTTCTGGAAAAACTACTAGCTCTGAGAGAGACACAATATACCTTTGTACATTAAAAAAAAAGGTTTCAGTTATACTGTAGTAAAATGTATATATTACAAAAGATTTTTGTTTTTCTCCCGATTTTTCCTGATTTTTTAAATTTTTAACCTGATCTCGGTTTTAATATTTGGAAAATAAACACTGAAAAATTCCCAGATTTTTTTTTTAACAAATAAAAACGGAAAATGCAGAACACTACTTAAAAGCAAGGATATAGAGCCATAGGCTTTCCTTTGAACCAGACCAGAGTTCAGATAACCCCTGTCAAAATGTGTAATTGCTATTTGCCTTGAAGAAAGTCGCCCAGCAGTATGTAACCTAGAGTGATGTGTCCTAGGCTTCTCAGAGAGTGTAGCCCAAGGTCCGAGTGCGCTTCAACAGCAGCCCTGGGAACTACAAGTTGTGGACTACAAACTGCGGCATGTTGGGAGAACTTCCTGGTTCCTCCCAGGATGTTCCCTCTGCTCCCCCAGCAGGAGGTTTTAGAACTGACAAGGAGCTAGGAGCACATAGCAGGCAAGCAGAGAGGAGGCTGTTGGACTGTAATCATGTTCTTTACAGAATAAAGCCTTGTTCCTGGTGGTTTGTCAGAGTGGGTGTGGTCTGAGGTGAACACACACTGACATACAACGCAGAGCACAAAAGGAGCCTCAGGCCAAGTTTCCCAAAGTTGTGTAAAAAGTCACAAGGCAGGCTTCTCCTATCTTGAACAACCTTATACTGGGCCAGTGAACAGGAGGAGGGGGCTACCTGAATCATGGGACTACTAGCCATGGTTATCCTGATCTCCAAAATGCCGGGTGGTAACAGACAAAATCTTCCTAGGCACCAGTCGCTTCAGTGGTGCTTTAGAGAAGCATCATCCATTCCTCCCAATGTGGAAGACAATCAACAAGTGCTATGGGGACAGGAACTGTCAGACTTAGTGGAGGAACAGAAATAGCTATGAACACTATAATCCCACTATACATATAAAATGATGGGGTCTAAATTAGCTGTTACCACTCAAGAAAGCGATCTTGGAATCATTGTGGCTAGTTCTCTGAAAACATTCACTCAGTGTGCAGTGGCAGTCAAAAAGCGAACAGAATGTTGGGAATCATTAAGAAAGGGATCGATAATAAGACAGAAAATATCATGTTGCCTCTATATAAATCCATGGCACTCCCACATCTTGAATACTGCGTGCAGATGTGATCGCCCCATCTCAAAAAAGATATATTGGAATTGCAAAAGGTTCAGAAAAGGGCAACAAAAATGATAAGGGGTATGGAACGGTTGCCATATGAGGAGAGATTAATAAGACTGGGACTTTTCAGCTTGGAAAAGAGACAACTAAGGGGAGATATGATAGAGGTCTATAAAATCATGACTGGTGTGGAGAAAGTAAATAAGGAAGTGTTATTTACTCCTCATAATACAAGAACTGGGTATCACCAAATGAAATTAATAGACAGCAGTTTTAAAAGGAACAAAAGGAAGCATTTCTTCACACAATGCACAGTCAACCTGTAGAACTCTGCCAGAGGATGTTGTGAAGGCCAAGACTATAACAGGGTTCAAAAAAGAACTAGATAAATTCATGAAGTGTAGGTCCATCAATGGCTATTAGCCAGGATGGGCAGGGATGGGTCTCAAGCCTCTGTTTTCCAGAAGCTGGGAATAGGAACCAGGGTATGGATCACTCGATGATTACCTGTTCTGTTCATTCCCTCCGAAGCACTGGTCACTGATCACTATCGGAAGACAGAATACTAAGCTGGAAGGACCTTTGGTCTGACCAATATGGCCACTCTTATGATAAAACAGAACAAGCAAAAGGAAAAAAACAACAATCTTCTTAAAGTAAACCTGTTCAGTGCACAGATTAGGAGCACAGACATAATGAAAACACAGTATATACATAAAGAAAGCCCTTGTCTAAACCCTTTGGAAAAAGGCAGCCTAATCACATGGTAATTAAAAGCAGACAAAGCATTTCATTGAGAAATACTCAGCACACCAAACCCACAGACAGCATACCTCTAAGCTATCACACCCAAGCTCTTTTTCACACCCAGCAAGACAAGCTCAAAGCTAACCACTCAGACTGTGGACCTTTCCCCTGTTTTTCTTAGAAAGAACAAGACACTCTTCTACAGCAGAAAGCAGCTGTCATAGAACAGTGCTTTCTACCATTTTCATGTTCAGAAGGAAACACTACAACTCCTCACCGTGGTTAGCAAGATTAGCTATTCATAGCCACCCTTCTCCAGTCACCAACTAGAGAAACAATCCCTGAAAGCATAGTTTTAACTAGCCTAGCCCCTGACAATCACAGGCCATTCTAGAGCATTGCCCTCTAACTGGTGGTTGCTAGAATTTGGCCTTCATGAGACAGAGAGCACTAGGAGAAGCCCCACGTGAGCAGAACCTCTCTCTCAAGTCTGTCCTAAACGGCCCCCTTCTGTGGGCTGCCTATCAAAGCAAAGCTGCTCAAAGCAGCCATCCCCTTTCATTTGCATAAACTGAAGACACAGACAGGCCACTCCACCAATCTTCTCCTTCTCCCTGCTCTGTGATGCCTAAGACAACAATCCTCTAGCTGGCAAGAGCTCTCTAGAAATGCCTGCCTATTCAGTTTTGGACATTCTAGTAATGTTTCTTTGGCACCACAGACCATAATGGAGAAAGTCAGCAGTGGGGAACCAGACTCTCCAACAAGGGGTATTTCCTGAAACTGAGGGCTAGTCTCACCATTCTCCAGGGAGCAGGGCCTCTCAGTTTTTCTGGAAACCACTCCAGAAGCTTTGACTTAAAAGCAAGTATACATGGCCGTAGGCTTTTCTTTGAACCAGGCCAGAAACCAGAGAAATCCTGTCAAAATTTCAAATTGCTATTCATCTGTATGACCTACAGTGCCTAGAGAAGCTAATGCTGAAAATGCTAAGGTCAGGGCAGGTTGTACAAAGGAGAGCAGATTCTCCCAAAACTGGTGGTTGACACTATAGTTAGAATCACTATCCAGTCACAAACTGTGCTTGTGATCCCCCACACTGGTTATCAAGAAGCTAAAAAATAATAATAATCACACAACCCCCTTTATTACAACCCAGTCTCTGACTCCAAATCAGCAAATAGATCCAGTGATGTAAGAAGTTATTTAAAACTCTATTCACTCCACAAAATGTTCTTCTGATCCTACCCTACCCCCATGTAACCACCTTGTAGCCTCCTGAGGGGTCATGCCCCTCAGTTTGAGAACCCCTGGAATAGATAGTGCTGATGCCAGTCTGTCTGAGGGTATCACCCAGAAACACATCACAAGTTTGAGATGCAGATATTGTGATGGGTTCGATCACAGAGACCCCCTTGCTGAATTTGCCTCTGAGCCTGTTTTCCCTGCCAGCTTGGGACTCCAGAACCCTGCCTTGTTGAGCCAGACACACTAGCCAGCTGCAAACACAGACCCAGAGATGTAGATTTTAACCAAAAACTGCTCAGCAGGTCACCTATCTCCAGCACCCAGACACCCAGTTCCCAATGGGATCCAAACCCCAAATAAATCCATTTTACTCTGTATAAAGCTTATACAGGTAAACTCATAAACTGTCTGCCCTCTATAACATTGATAGAGAGATATGAACAGCTGTTTGATCCCCCAGGTATTAATCACTTACTTTGGGTTAATTAATAAACAAAAGTGATTTTATTAAGTATAAAAAATAGGATTTAAGTGGTTTCAAGTAATAAGCGACAGAACAAAGTAAGTTACCAACCAAAACAAAATAAAACACGCAAGTCTAATACATTAAGAAACTGAGTACAAGTAAATCTCACCCTCAGAGAGGTTCCAATAAGCTTCTTTCACAGACTAGACTCCTTTCTAGTGTGGGCCCAGTCCTTTCCCCGATACAGACCTTGTTAGTTCCAGCAGGCATCTTAGGTGAAAAGCAGGAGATTCCACATGACTCGGGCCTAAATGGAGAGGTTTCGAGGGCCTATTATATTCTCTCTCTTGTGGGTGGAAACTCCTTTGTTCTTCAGTGCAAAATCACAGGAACAAGATGCAGTTTGTAGCCACGTGGGCAAGTCACATGTCCATGAATGATTCGGCTTTTTGCAAGCCGACGCCATTGTTTACATGTTAGTTTGAACATTCCCAGGAAAACTCAGATGTGGATTGGTGTCTCCCAAAGTCCATTGTTAGTTAAGTACTTCCAGTTACTTGAATAGTCCCTTCAGGATATGTTGGCCAAACCTCCCTTATGTGTTTCCTACAGCAAACACTTCAAATACAAGCATAGAGCCAACACTCATAACTTCAGATATAAAACTGATACATGCATACAAATAGGATGAATATATTTGGTAGATCATAACCTTTGTAATGATATCTTACAAGAGACCTTTTGCATAAAGCATATTCCAGTTACATCATATCCACACTTATAAACACATTTTTATTAAACATGTGGAGTGTAACATCACGGATATGTTACACATATTTATAACTCATGATACAAAGATGATACATAGATATAAACAAGTTTCAGAGTAGCAGCCGTGTTAGTCTGTATCCGCAAAAAGAACAGGAGTACTTGTGGCACCTTAGAGACTAACAAATTTATTTGAGCATAAGCTTTCATGGGCTAAAACCCACATCGGATGCCTGCAGTGGAAAATACAGTAGGAAGATATATATATACACAGAGAATGTGTTTCATGTTTCATGTTCTCTGTGTATATATATATCTTCCTACTGTATTTTCCACTGCAGGCATCTGATGAAGTGGGTTTTAGCCCACAAAAGCTTATGCTCAAATAAATTTGTTAGTCTCTAAGGTGCCACAAATACTCCTGTTCTTTTTGCAGATATAAACAAGATTGTCATACTTAGCAAATCATAACTTTTCCACTGATACCTTACATGGCATATGTTGTAAGATTCATTGCAATTTTGTAAAATTGGTATCAATAATATTATAAATGGTTACCCACATTCCATACAGCATCACAGACTGGAAGAAAGTTGCTCGGCTGCACGTCACCTAGAGTTGATAGCGTGTTCTAGGCTCCTCACAAAGCGTGAATGGTGGGAATACAGGCTGCTGTCCTCCTGATCTCCAAAATGCCAGGTGGGAACAGGCAACATCTTCCCAAGCCTCAGTGGCTCCGGTGGTGTTAATAGGGAAGCATCATCCATTCATCCCAGTGTGCAGGAGACTAGACAGGCGTCATAGGGAAAGGAAATGTCCGACTTAATGGAGGAACAGAAATAGCTCTGAAGATAAGGCAGAATAAGCAAGAGAAAAAAGACAATCCTTTTATGGTAAATCTTCTGACTACAAAGATCAGGAGCAAAAAACTAACAAAAACACAGCACACACAAAGAAAACCCTTCTCTAAAGTCGTTGGAAAAGTGCAGCTCCGTCACGAGAGCAACTGAAAGTGGACATAGCATTTCACTGCTGGGGGTTCAGCATACCAAACCCACAAACAACACAGCTCCTAAGAACCATACCCTAGCTCTTTTTCACACCCAGCAAAACAAGCTCAAAGCTAACTACTCAGACTGTGCACCCTTTCCCTGCTTTTCTCAGGAAGAACAAGCAGGGCCGGCGCAACCCATTAGGCGACCTCGGCGGTCGCCTAGGGTGCTACAATTTTGGAGGCGGCGACCACGGCTGTATTTCGGTGGCGGGACCTTCCGCCGCCTCTGTGGGGGGCGGCATTTCGGGGCGGGACCTTCCGCCGCCTAGGGCGGCAGAAAAGCTGGTGGCACTCCTGAGAACAAGACACTCTTCTACAGCAGAAAGCAGCTGCCATAGAACAGCAGTCTCTGCCATTTTCATGCTCAGAAGGAAACACTACTGTCAGGCTGGAGGGAGATTACTAGTGAAGTTCCTCAGGGATTGGTTTTTGGACCAATCTTATTTAATCTTTTTATTACTGACCATGGCATAATAAGTGGGAGTGTGCTAATAAAGTTTGCGGATGACACAAAGCTGGGAGGTATTGCCAATACAGAGAAGGACCGGGATATCATACAGGAAGATCTGGATGACCTTGTAAACTGGAGTAATAGTAATAGGATGAAATTTGATAGTGAAAAGTGCAAGGTCATGCATTTAGGGATCAATAACAAGAATTTTTGTTATAAGCTGGGGACTCATCAGTTGGAAGTAACAGAGGAGGAGAAGGACCTCGGAGTATTGGTTGATTACAGGATGACTATGAGCCGCCAGTGTGATATGGCCATGAAAAAAGCTAATGCGGTTTTGGGATGCATTAGGTGAGATATTTCCAGTAGAAATAAGGAGGTGTTAATACCATTATACAAGGCACTGGTGAGACCTCATCTGGAATACTGTGTGCAGTTCTGGTCTCCCTTGTTTAAGAAGGATGAATTCAAACTGGAACATGTACAGAGAAGTGCTAATAGGATGATCCGAGGAATGGAAAACCTGTCTTATGAAAGGAGACTCAAAGAGCTCGGCTTGTGTAGCCTAACCAAAAGAAGGCTGAGGGGAGATATGTTTGAAATTTTGATAGGGTTTCTCTGGACTCTGGCCTGGTTCAAAGGAAAGTCTACGGCCGTGTATACTTGCTTTTAAGTCAAAGCTTCTAGAGTGGTTTCCAGAAAAGTTGGGAGTTCCTGCTCCCTGGAGAACAGTGAGACTGGTCCTCAGGTTCAGGAAACACCCCTTGTTGGTCAGCCTGGCTCCCCACTGCTTTCACAATTTTGGTCTGTGGTGCCAAAGAAACATGACGTGGGTGTCCAAAACTGCATAGGCAGGTGTTTCTAGAGAGCTCTTGCCTTGGCTAGCTAGAGGATTGTTGTCTTAGGCATCACAGAGCAGGGAGAAGAAGAAGATTGGTGGAGTGGCCTGTCTGTGTCTTCAGTTTATGCAAATGAAAGGAGATGGCTGCTTTGAGCAGCTTTGCTTTGATGGGCAGTCTAGGGAAGGGGGCCATGGAGGGCAGAGTTGAGAGACAGGTTCTGCTCATGTGGGGCTTCTCATAGTGCTCTCTGTCTCATGAAGGCCAAATTCTAGGAACCACAAGTTAGAGAGCAATGTGCTAGAATGGCCTGTGACTGGCAGGAGACAAGCTGGTTAAGGCTATGCTTTCAGGGATCATTTCTCTAGTTGGTGACTAGAGAAGGGTAGCTTTGAAAAGCTGATCTTGCTAACCACAATGAAGAGTTATAGTGTTTCCTTCTGAGCATGAAAATAGTAGAGAGTGCTGTTCTATGGCAGCTGCTTTCTACTGTAGAAGAGTGTCTTGCTCTTCCTGAGAAGAGCAGGGGAA